AAGTCCACACATCTTCAAGTTGCCAAGGTGGAGAAACACTGTTATAGCCAATCTCAGCAAAATGAGTTTCAGCCTTCCTGTGGAATTGATTTCCTGGTCTGGTCTACCTTGTGGGGCTGGGAAAAATCTACGTGGAAAACAATAAAAGCACAGTCTGATTCATGCGGGTTGTGTAAAATGCCTGGTTGGAAAACAATCTCTTTTTTTTATATGATTTTTATTGACATTTTTAAAAAAGAAGATAAAAATTAATACAAACTAATATAAAGTAAGGCAGAAAAAAAAGAAAGAAAGCAAAGAGAAAGCAAAAAGCGCAAAGAGCTTTTACAACCTTTATAACAAACAATGAATATTATTCTACAGAATGGAAAGATTCCTGACAGCTGGAAAGAGGCTAATATAGCATTCATATCTCAAGATTTTACTTTAAAAGGAACTATCAACCAACAGCTTTATTGAATAATGACTACGAACTGTTTATCACAATTTTGGCTGAAAGATTGAAGATAATTTTATAGGATTTTATTCATGAAGATCAATGTAGGTTTTTACCTAAAAGACGAGATAGTATTAGAAATATTTTGGAATACTTGGAGGAACATAATGAAAAACAAGCTGCCTTGATATTCTTAGATGCAGAGAAGGCCTTTGACAATTTGAATTGGATTTTTTTGTTTAGCATTCTGGAACATACAAACTTTGGAGATCATTTTATTAAATGGGTAAGATCGATTTATACTTCTCAGAAAGCACAAATAATTGTTAATAGAGAACTAACAAAACTTTGTGAGATTCAAAAAAGGACAAGACAAGGATTTCTGCTGTCTCCACTACTGTTCATTTTAGTTCTTGAAGTAGTGTACTGAATAGAGACATAAGACAAGATAAGAGAATTAGGGTTAAGATTAAAAAAAGAAACTTATAAATTAAGGGCATTTCAAGATGATTCTGTGTTAATTTTAGAAGATCCCCTAGAGGGAGTAGAAACATTAATGGGAAAATTAAGGGACTTTGGTATGTTAGCAGGTTTTAAGATTAATAATCAGAAGACAAAGATGTTAAGAAAAATATGAAATTAGAAGATCAAATTATGTTATAATGTTTAGAAAATTGGGATCTGTGCCTGCACATAATTATTATTTATTATGTTATTATTCATTAGATTATGAATAACATGATAGACCCTTTCTACAGAACCTCAAAGCAGAACACATTGTATAACACTTTCACCTTCAGTTCCCTCCCCCCAACAACCTTGCAAGATAGGCTGGGCAGAGAAAGAACAACAGATCCACATGCTGAGTGCCAATGAGAACATGGGTTTCTCTGGACCTAGCTCAGCATTTTAAGTACACAGGCGATGTACAAGATTCATGCCAAGGGTTACCTGATGACATTGTGGATTGCCAGGCACTTCAAAGTCAGCATCACAGATGTCAAGCTGGTCCTCCTGATCTCTGGAACCATGTGGTCTGGCATGCACTGCTCCCAAAATTCCTTGTTATATACCCGGAAGCATTTCCCAGATGCTGTCCTACCAGCTCGGCCTGCGCGTTGCAGAGCTTCACTCCTGGAGGTTGCACATTGAAAATCAGAAAATCTCAGCTTCTTATTAGCTAAAATTTTTAGGTACAGGTAGTCCTCAACTTATGACCATTTGTTTAATGACTGTTCAAAGTTACGATGGTACTGAAAAAAGTGACTTACTCCTGGTCCTCACAAATATGACTGTCACACATCCCCACAGTCACGTGATCAAAATTCAGGTGCTTGGTAACTGGCATGTAATTTACGACGGTTGCAGCATCCCAGGGTTACATGATTGCCATTTGCAACCTTCCCAGGGGGCTTCCAACAAGCAAAGTCAATGGATGAAACCAAATTTGCTTAATGACCGTGGTGAAAAAGGTCTTAAAATTGGGTGCAGCTCAATGACCGCATTGCTTAGCAATGGAGGTTCCGGTCCCAATTGTGGTTGTAAGTCGAGGACTACCTGTATTCGTTTGCATGGCTCATGGATCCCTGAGGCCTTAAGATGCAAGGCAACTTTCCCACAATGTAATGCAGAAGTAATCTATTATAAAATTACCATCAAAATCAAAGAATCCAGTTAACCTGAAGACAACTATCCGCTTCTCAAATAACCAGCACTGTGTAATTTTTACTCTGCAGAAAAGCAGCATTTTCACTGCCTACTTGAATATTATTATGAGGGACTTATCTTGATTTCGGGAGGCAAGCTATACCAGAGGAAGGGGGCGCAGCGGAGGAGGATGTTTCCAGGCCCCAACCCCCATCTCCCTTTGGGACCCACAATGTGTCCTCTCTGCTTGTCTGCATCAGGCAGACCAGGTTTCCAGCCTGGGGGGCAACCAGGACCATACAGGGCTTTACACTTCATCATCAGCAAACCAAAGCAACGCAGCTTCCCAACGTGATTCCCACAGTAAAGGTACCGCAGCGTTCGGCCAACAGTCATAGCAGCTGAGGAGCTGAATTTTGCACCAGCTGTAGTTTCTAGGTAGTCTCCAAGAGCAGTCCCACGTAGAGGGAATTGCAGTAGCCCAGGTACAAAACCTCAAGGGCATCAGTGATCAAGCCAGTGCAAATACCCAAGCTGGCTCAAAAACTACAGAGTCCAAAGGGTGTCTAGCACAGACCAGCTAGGTTTTCCTGTGATATCTCCACTGGATTAATAGACATCATCCTGAGATGCCACATGGGGGTTCAATGACAGCAGGAATGCACAGCAGCTGGCTGAGGGCCACATTAGGTTTTCCAAGATATGTTGGAGGCCACAGTCTCAATGGGAGAAGGGACAGAACCTTAAAACAGGATGATTTTGGAGATGTTCTGGGTTTTAAGGGGGGCAACGTGAATGCCTTAAATATCTGCAGGACTTCAGACATCCATTTTGCTCTGGAAAATCTCTGTAAAATAGTGTTTCTCAACCTTGGCAACTTAAGATGCATGGACTTCAACTCCCAGAATTCTTTAAAATGTGTAGACTTCAACTCCCCATGCTGGCTGGGGAATTCTGGGAGTTGAGGTCCACACCTCTTACAGTTGCCAAGGTTGAGAAACACTGTTATAAATTATTTAATAATAAATGGTGATAACAGGGTTAAGAATAGAGTTTATGACACGGGCCCCACGAAGTCTAATTTGTTCTCTACCGGAAGACAGAACAACAAACAAAAATGTTATTTATAGCATGCTCTGCACTGAGGTATGATCCAAACCCAATTCAAATTAACACTTCACAAAAACAAAGGTGAAAATTACACAAGCAATATAAAATTAGTACTTTTACATATACACACAACCTGGCTGGGTTCAGGAATTCCCAAACAGATAACCATGGTTCACCTGACACACTAAGCTTCCCAGGATACATCAAACCACAAGTGAAACAAACTGGATTAGCACTGTATGCAAAGCTAAACCAAGATTTCCATCAAACTTACTTCGAAATTGGCACCACCTCCAGCACGTCCAAGCCAACTCTTGGGTTGTGGTTTAACTGCTTCACAAACCCACTGTCGACCACATACCTGAAAAAAAAAGGAACACAGAAACGTAAGTCGTGCTAAACTGGAGACACACCTAAATCCACATGATACGATCAAACATCTTAAAGAGAAAAGCCATCACAAAAGAAACTGCAGGTTATGCTGATTAAAGGCAAACCCTTCTCTTTCTAGACACGGCTCAAAGACAGATGCGCCTGTCTGAAAAGACCAGCAACTTCCAGAGCCAATGCTATTTCTTAGTGGGAAACCAAGGATATTAAGATGACTTCAACCCATCATTTAGTACCTTGGCTCTTCTAAAGCTGCTAACCACGGCTTCCTGGTACAGAGGAAAGAAGGACCTCGGAGTTATTAGAGATTCCCAGGTTTGACTGCTCCCAACACAAGGAAAGAGGGAAGGTGTGACGAGTGTGAACCAAAGCTGGTTCACATTTTGTTGTATTAAACCAAGATGTGATCATACAAACGCTTGTTCTCTTTTTGACATTTCCAGCTCTTTGGTCCTTGGCAAGATCAAAGATGGCTTGCTAAGGATGGATTAGAACAGTGTTTCTCAACCTTGGCAACTTGAAGATGCCTAGACTTCAATTCCCAGAATTCCCCAGCCAGCTTGAAGTCCACACATTGAAGTCCACACGTCTTCAAATCGCCAAGGTTGAGAAACACTGGTTTAACATGTGCAAATAACGTTTATTTTTATTTATTTATTTATTATTAAATTTATATGTTACCCATCTCCCCCAGAGAGTGACTCTGGGCGGCTTACAGTTAAAAACCAAGACAGTAAAAACAATAAAAATATAAATACCCCCCAATTAAAACACAATTGGCCCAAAAGGCTCATGAGGGTCCATCTTTAAAAATAAAGTTTAACATGTTGTGGTGACCTGGCTGGCACATGATATCCTCAGCCTGGAGTTTGCAGCTTAGCACCCAGGACTACCAATGTGATTGCAGACCTCTCCCTTGGCCTCTGCAAGGCTCCATGTCCTACCAGCCTTTGCACATCTTTCAAAAGTTCTTTTTCTTAATGGGAAGCCAAGTGACAGCTTTTGCATATGAAACAGCTCCACGGTTCATCCTCAGGCGCAGGTCAACATTCCCAGAACTCTTACTTGATCCCATCAATGGTCAAAGACGTGGCTGCAATATTTGTGGAGACAACGCATTTCCTGATCCCTGGAGGAGGGGGGAGGAATATCCTTCTCTGCTGATCTAAATAACAAAAACAGGATCAGAAGAATATGAGAGAGAGGGGGAGAGAGAGGGGGAGAGAGAGGGAGAGAGAGAGATCACAAGGCATTGTTTCTGGAGCTGTCCAGGTCTTCCAAAGGTTAAAACCAACTTCCAAAAGTTAAACTGGACTCTGAAACAGACCAGCAGCCAGCCGGGCTAGAGAGCAAGGAGTGAACTGACTTGGACTACGACTCCCATCATCCCCAGCCAGGACAGCTGAAGATATTGGGAACTGTAGCCAAGCATACTTAAAGGGCACCAAGAATAGAGCCCAAGCCAGCTGCAAGGCACCACGTTTCTCTTTTTATTAGCTCTCTTTCCTGTTCTCTTGGAAAAACCTGGAATCAGGTTTTCTTTTCCAAAAAGAGAATCTCAAATGCAACTTTTTCAAAGGATCAAGGGCTGCTTTCAGTGCAGGCAACACATGGGAGATCTGTTCACATATTTTTTTCCTATTTTGTTTCTCATTGCATTTTATTAATTACGTTCTTCTGTTGTTTATTTGTGTCGACAGTTGGTTTTTATATGATTTGTGGTAGGCTGTTTTCTTGGGTGTTTCTGTGTATTTTTTAAAAAATGGTAATACAGTCAAATAAATTAAAAAAAAACAAATCGGGAATTTGGAGACCGACTGACTGATGAAGCTTGTAAAATGAGAGGTTTCTTGAAAGATTGCTATGCTGGAGACCATGAAGAAGATCAGTTTTTATCATGCATAAAAAGCCATCATTTGGTTCCCAGCACTAGGTGAAATCTAGTTTGCTGCTGATAATTGCACATTTCAGAAGCTCAGAGGAGCCAACAAATGAAGAGAGCATTTTAAGTTGCGTCTTCAACAGCCACCAGTGACCAAAACTTCCCCACCTGCTTACTTTCAGCTCTGCCACTGGCAATCAAAAAGAACTGCGCTTCTCAAAGCTAAACCAAACTAGCCAAATACCATTATTTTCCAGTCTAAGCAACATTCAGATAGATGTGGGCTTCAACTCCCAGAATTCCCAAACCACTGGCTGGGGAATTCTGGGAGCTGAAGTCCCTATCTAGACCAGTGTTTCTCAACCTGGGCAACTTTAAGAGGAGTGGACTTCAATT